TGGCATGACAAAGTAGCAACAATGGTGCATTGGAATATCTGCAAGAAATACCGTTTGTCTGCAAGCAAGAACTGGCGGGACCAAAAAACAGACAAAGTAATAAAAAATGAGGACACTAAAGTGCTTTGATACTTTAGAATTCAAACAGACAAACAGCTGCCACACAACACCCCAGACTTAACAATTGTTGATAAGAAAGACAAAAAAGTCTGGATAGTGGACATTGCAATACCTGGAGTCAGCAGAAGAGAAGAGAAAGAATTGGAGAAAAATCGCAAAATGTAAAGACCTGAAAATAGAAGTAGAACGACTGTGGCAAAAGAAAGCAAAGATAGAACCAACAGCCTTGGGTGCAATCCCAAAACATCTGGAGCACCACTTGAAGACCATCAGCATTGACAAATTCGCCATCAGTCAATTGCAAAAGGCAGCTTTACTTGGAACAGCTTATGTCCTGCAGCGATACCCTTAACGCTATCAAATATCTGCCTATTGCAGGTCCTTGGGAAGGACTCGCTAGGTGGATAAAAATGCCAGGTCCAGTCTAAACATCTGGCTGACTGCGACCAACCATCGTCATAATACTTGTATGCTGCCCAGCTCTCAGTGACTCTGGGTGGCTTAGCCGATCAGCTGTCTAACAGTTTGCAGTCGGAGAGGTAGGTCATGGGATGAAGCAGCAGGTCTGAGCTCTTTCTGGATGCATGTTTAGTACACTCCCAGAATTATTGCTACATAAAACTCCTTGTTGGAAGAAGCAACAGGAAACTTATAATACATTCACTCGGGACAGAACCAGGAATACACAGTAGGGATAACCAGTTTCTTTTTCCCAGTTTAAACTGCCTTTGGTGCAGCACACTGGTAGGGTTTTTCCAAGAGACTGGTCCTGTTCTTCACCACAGATCTAGCAATAAAGGGCGCTGAACCTGTATTTACAAAATTCCCAGGATCACTAAACCTGTATGTATAAAGAGCCCACATGAGGTCCAGCAAGGGCTGGCTAGGCAGGAAGCAGGCCAATTCCTCTGCCTACGGCTGGTGCCCAGTCTGTCCTGCAGCCCAAGCCCAACATGGCCATGGAGGGCAGTGCCCACCAACTGGAGGGGAAGCCATGCCTGGGACAGCTTGGCGTGGCCGGTAAGAGTGGGGTAGATCTCAGCCCCTGGCAGTGTTGATCATCGCATCATCGTGAAGTGCGCTAGATCTTATTTACAGAAAAAATGGTGCTGGAAGAAGAGAGAGCGCACCACCTTAAAACTGGAACTGCTAAAGAGCACATTCAGCCTGGGGAAGAGACTAAAGTGAACCTTGTGAGGACGAGTCATGAAAATAGTTATCAGGACATGTTTGGGCTGTGTTTAGGGGGGATGCAAGGATGAGTCTGGAGCCAGCTGAGTGGAGCAAAGTAAGGCAGAAGGTGGGGATGACCTATTTCTCATTCCAGGGAGGCCAGCCTTCTGCTGATCAAGGAAGAAGCCTCGGGCCCCGACAGGAAAGCTGCTTTTACGAGTCCTGCTGCTCCCTTGGTTGGCTACAACCCTTGTCCTGAACCTCCTGTGCTGCCCATTACTGTGGTCCAGTCTGTGTTAGATGGGAGAACAAGGTGTGATGAACTGCAGCCAATGTGTTTGCAGCCCCAGGAAAGACGATCCTTTTTGGACAGGTGAGGCACACGTGTGCACCCCACCATTGTTAAAATGCCAGCTTGTGGATCTCTCAGGATGTGATAGGCTTCAACTCTGATAACCCCCAAACCATTTTGGTCTTTGGTCATGCTGGCTGGGGGTTATGGAATTGAGTCCAGAGGGCAAACATGGATTAGAACTTTGGGGGTGCCCTATGTAAATGTTCATATGGGATGATTTCAAAATCCTATTTAACGTTTACTCCTGCCTTCTTTCTTGTCCTGATCTGCTGGAGATCATCACCTTTTCATGTTGGAATTTTGTAAGTTTTTGGTAAGCTCTTACCCAAGAATGCAAATATTTTGTGCAAGACTACTGAAACTTGAGAATTCTGACATTCACATCTGAAAACAGGTGAGATTTCAGGAGATGATACTGAAATCTCATGGGCTTTGGCAATTTTGTGAGATGTTGACTTTAATGTCACTTGAAATCCTGGGCACCTGTCCCTTTTGTGTTTCCTCAGAGCAGTCCTTCCTGATCTGTGGGAAGGTGCTGATTTGAATTTGGAAGGCTTTCAGATCTTTCTAAGAAACCAACAGTACAATCTGGAAGCTACTAGATCTTTGGAGGTAAATCTGTTTTTCCTATTACCATTCCTAATATTCAATTATTTGAAGACCTCCAGGAGTGAGAGTTAAGGGCCACTGGTTTGGGTTTGTTCTTCATCTCATGAGTGCATCCCGTCTTGACTTGCCTTCAATAATAACCCATAACTTTTCCAATAATCTCTCTGATTCCATCCATCTACCTTAACCAATATCATTTTCTCCTTCCTGCAGCCTTGCCAAGCACAACTGTTTTATTAGTTTATCATTTGCTTGCACCACATCCCCCAAATATGCGAGTTTCTCCTTGTTCTTCCCTTTCATCACTTCAAGGAAGCAGTCTATCTTTAATCCAACAATACAGTAGACATAACTATCTAAATAACAGAAGACTGAGCTTGAATTGATGAATATATGACAGACTAGTTTCAAAAGCAAAATCTGAGTCTTGAATTTTGAATCTGGGCTGCTTTGAAGCTGTCCTGAGTTAATTAGTTAGAGAAGGGTGTGGTAGAAATTCAAATTAGGGGGAAAAACAACATTTTCCAATATCACCATTGGCTTTTCTTTATGGGGAAGGCTGTAAAGTTTTTAATATAGAAATCTGAACTTTGCAAAATTGGTGCTTTCAGAAAAGGAAGAAGACATGGCATAACAGACTGTGTCCCACTCACAGTTCCCGTGGAATTCAGGGCCACGAGATTGTCCTTTGGCTTTCTTTAAAAATGGATTGGACAAATATAATACTGGTTAGAAACAGCCACAAGAGGGGTTTAAAAAAGTCAATATGGCTGTTGTACATGTGTGATTGAAACTCCACTCATTGTTTATGTTCATCACAAGCTACATTAAAAGGTGGTAGGGTTTCAATTGTATAATGGTGGCTCCCTTCTTGACTCTTTTGATTCGCCTTGCAGATTCCCTGACTGGTTATAAGATGACTTGCTGTGACTGCATGTTTAAAAGCAGTGTAGCTGTGAGCATCCGTTGTGAAGTGGTCTATTCACTTGTTCCATAATAGTGATTTCCCAAAAGTACTGACTTAGCCATTCTGAAAACGGGATCCTTGAACAGATGGATCCTGGTCTTGACTGAGCTGCAAAAACTGTTTTGTTTTTTTTTTAAACGAACTTTTAATTGTCTAAATGACAGCTATCTCAGTGGCTGTGGTCTTCGAGAAATATTCCTTAACCTGGTCCCTTCCTGATCTAAACAGGTTGAGGTTCTTTCATATCACCGCTAGTTCTACTTCATAAACCCTCAAAAATAGTTCGATCCCCAATTTTCTCTCCTGCTCAACTCACCAAGCAGAAACCAAGGGGTGAAATTGCTCCCCCACTTTGAACTGCTGTATGTCCTGCCATAACAAATCTCCCTTCCTCCTCTCTGCACACCGAGGAGAGAAAAAATAAATCCCTTACACACCTTTCTGTACCACTTCCTTACTCCAGGTCTAATCGTGTGTAAAAATACCCCCAGCAGCTTTCGCGAGGGGAGCTATGAAGCTGTCAAGCCACCTTTCCCTTTAAAAGCCCTGAAACCCACATATAAGAGCATGGTAGCAGCCCTCACCAGAAGGAAAACAAACAGCCTCCAAACTTCACGGAGAGTGCCATTTTTTATACTAATTCTTGCCTGTATGTGGCTTCGAAGGAACGGGCTCAGCTCATTGATGCTGCTCTCTCACCAGAAGGCCAAACAGCTTTCAGTCTGATACAGAATCCCTTTTTCTGGAAATGCTCTTTGTCACTTTTATTTGAAGGAGGGGAGCTCCTCCCTTCCAAAATGATTGAAACTGCTTGGTGGAAACAGCTGAAAGAGCTTCTTGGAACTCAGAACAAGGTGTGTCCAATTCCAAGGAGTTCAGACTCGGAAACATTCTGTATTTGCACTTGCAAGCTGTTTGTTATGTCCCTTTTGGGTGGAGTGAGGGTCAGAGTAAAAGCGTTTTGCTCCTGGTGAGGTTTAATTGCTGGGCATTTTACCCCAAAGAAAGCTGAGTACCTTTTTTCTTTTCTATCAGGCCTTTAACCCCATGATACCTTCAAGTGAGTGGACTTTGAATGATGTGGAGGCTGATTTGCCTGTGGTAAGAGATGTACCTGCAGGAGGGGAGATGAAGGGAAGTGCTACAACAGCACAGAAGCCTGCTGCATGTAACTGGGAGGAAGTTACTATGATCTGCATCACTTCCAATTAAATTTTCCGTCACGCACGAGCACAGATCTTTGACTTGCGCAGTCCAGAAGGGCATAAGCACTGGGTTGGAGGTGACCTCCAAAAACCTTGAGTGTGGCCACCAGAGATCACCAGAAGTTTCTCCTAGGTGTGATTCTCTTTTCTGGTGACAAATTGAGGAAATTATTAAATACACAATCAGCAAGCAAATGTACTAATTATGCTTTATTGGAATTAAACTTAAGCCTAAGCGAAACCATGCTTCGTTTGTGTCCTGGTCCCACCCCCACCCCCACCTCCATCCCCATTTTGGGGTTTTGATTAAGGGTGGCCTCGCCTAAGAAAAGGTCATGCCTCCAACTGCTCAAGTAGATTAAACGGAGGAATCATAGAATAGACTCCCAGATCTGAAAGAGGCTGTTCGTTCAAATCCCCTGCTAAGTGCAAGAATCCAGATTATAGCATCCCAAACAGAACTGAGAGGAATGAGGAGAAGGGTTACTTCCAGATTAGCAATCTGGATTTTTTCCTAATCCACTTAAGGTGGTGAATGGAGACAATGTCATTGTCAAGCTATTGTAATCTAGTATTTTCTTCATCCTTACATGTATGCGCAGGCTGTTGGTTTCCTTACTTTCTTGCTAAAAGCAATCCCAGAGCTGGGCTATAGGTCATTTAAATAAAAAATACAGTGGGTTTGTTTGTAAAGCCACAATTAAGTTGGCTTGCATTTTTTGCTTACGGTAACGATGCGGGGAAGGCTGTGCTGTGCTACCGATTCAGTTTGGAAGAAGCGCGTCAGAATGCGAGCTGCGGATTGTTAAAGCAGCCATGATATTTCCTGGAAAAATACAGCGATTGTGACCATGTGATCCTGGGAACAGACATAGATGCTTTTGTAAGTTGTTGCCAGACTCCCCCTGGATCCAAAGCATCTCTTCCAAACCGAATCTGAAGCACTGCACAACCTGAATAAGGATTCTTGTTATTTTATTAATTATTTTTAAGCTAGGAAAAGCTCAGCGGCTAACAGGCTGGCTAGCTTATCAGAACACTTCACCCAGTGTTTCTCCACCTCGGCAAGTTGAAGATGGGTGGACTTCAACTCCCAGAATCCCCCAGAATTCCATGCTGGTGGGGGAATTCTGGGAGTTGAAGCCCACCCATCTTCAACTTGCTGAGGTGGAGAAACACCACACTAAATCATCTCTTTTGGTTTACAAGCCACAATGGTTTAACAAGCCAAAACCAAACCAACTGCATTATGACTTAGCACATAGAGCAGCACGATAAGCGAGAACGAATTGCTCGTTTTTGGCTTAGCTGATCGCATTAACCCTCGGGGGATCTTTTTGTGTCGGGTCTGAGTATGAAGCAGAAAGATCTGGGGTCAAGTGAGGTGTCTTCTACGGAGAGAAAACCCACGCAAGGTGGTGTGTGCAGAAGGGCAGACCTGTCCCCCCTCTCTTAATACGTTTAAACCAAATCGTGTGCTCTGGCTTATCCATAAATAGAGTGGGGACCTTTGTAACGTTAGGTTACCCGCTTTTCTCTCAGCCTGCGTCTCCGTTTTTGATAACATGGTCCAGTTTGCAGGGTTGCTGCTAGAGGACAGAGGTCCTGTTCTTGCTCAGCCAGCTTTTTAAACCATCACTGCCACTCTCCCCTTTCCTGGGGTAATAACTCTGCATTGTTTGTACTGTAGTTTGTATTTTTTGCATCAGGCTGCAGATGGCCAGTGTGGAACAACCGGAGAAGAAAACAAATAGGAAGTCCTCCTGAGAACCAGAACCTCAGCTCAGTACCTCTTGCCCCATAGCTGGATGTTTCCATCTGGAAAACGTGGCCTTGACTGCTGGTCCTAGGCTGGCTTTGCACGGGATTCCAGTGATCGATACACACATTTCACAAGGAAAGACTTTCCCCCCTGCATATTCCTGTGCTGCTGTTTTTACCAGTTCAGAGCACACTCTTTGAACCGAAAGCACATCATTTTGGAACGCCATGCATTCAACTGGTTTGTTCTGCGTACTCTAGCAGTCTTTCCCAACCTGGTGCGCTCCAGATATTTTGGACTATAACTCCCTTCATCCACAGCCAGCGTGGTTATTGGCCAGCTATACATTGTGTATTACCGTATCTGTTTATATGGGCTGTTCAACAAACGTGACCCCATCTGATTCTGGGGTCAGTATCTGGGTTATATTTCTACGTCCTCTAAGCTCTTGTTTTGGACTTCTCTTGAATTCCAGCTGACTCTTTTGATTTTGGATTTTGGACCAGCTTTCACACTCCTTGAGTTTCTTGAATTAGCTTAAATGTCAACCACTGATTTGAGCTGTAGATTCCAAAATGCTTTGAGGACTCTGAAGAATATCTGTTGCTTACTTTTGACATCATTCTTTTTAAGAACAAATTGGTAGGCAAGGGTGTCAGAGAATTTTGTGGAAGATTTGAAAACCTAGAAGGCATTGGAAGAAGCAACAAAGAGAAACTGTATTTGAGACTTTTGGATCCTACTTTTGACACAAGATTTGAGATAATTTGGGCATTTACCTTGTTTGAGATGCAAAGTGCAAGAAAAGATAAAGAGTTTTCCCTACTTGCTGCGCAGAGTGTAAGAGCTAGGATGGAGACGTACTTTATTCATTCAATACTTTTACTGAATCTAAAAAAGATGAATGAAAACTGTATTGCAGGCTCAATAGGGACAATAGGCCAATGCACTGAAAGTTTAGGACATACTGCCCCTGGTGGCTCACTGTGGAATTGCTCAATGGGGAAAAAATAGGGCAATATAATCGAACTAAAAGGAAGTACTGCCCCATGCTGGTTCACTGGGGTATTGCATGTTCAGTGGTCAATAGAGGGCAATGGACATATTGCCCCAGGTGGCTCAGTTAGGTATTGAAGGGTCTATTTGAAAAAAATATATGGATGATACAGGGCATACTGCTTCCTAGTGGCTGAGTGTGGTATTGAAAGCTCTATGGTGTATATAGGGCAACATACAGAACCTATAAGTCATACTGCACCTGGTGATTTTCTTAATAGGGGACAATAATCTGAAATATTCAGTATTGTCCTGGGTGAAGGACAATTGTGTGAAACACCCAAGTGAGCCACCAGAAAGCTGTGTGTGCAATCATTTAATAGTTTTACCTATTTTTCCACTTCAGCAATGTAATACCATAATGAGCCTCTAGGTGGCTGTATGTGCTATAGGAGAAATCCATTCTCTATTTCCCAGTTCATGCCTCCAAAACCCAGTCAGCCACAAGGAGGCAGTAATGATAAACATATTGCCCTATTTTCCCTGTGGAGCCTGCAATACCCATATGAGCTAGCCAGCAATATGTCCTCTGTGGTGAAAACATTCCCTATTTTACTGGTAGACCTGCAGTACACAGAAAAGCCACTGGGGGCACTGTGTTCTATAACATGTTTTTCTGTATTCTACTGGGGTCACTCTACCATTGTTAGCAGTTCTTAGAAATTTACCCAAGCCTTTGTAACTACATTTCTGACTTTCTCTTTAGTTTTTAGATGGAATAATTTACCTGGAATCAAGGTGTCATCATGATCAGTTTTTATTTATTTTTATTTATTTAGATATCAAATTTGTCATTGCCCATCTCATTAAAAAGCAACTCTGGGTGGTTTATAGAGGAGATAACATCAATTAAAATACAATATAAAACAGTCTTAAATTAATAATAAATAAATTCCAAGAAATGATGGAATTGCAGCAACACAATTAAGAACATGTCATCCTATTGTTCTATATCAGTGTTTCTCAACCTTGGGAGCTTTAAGATGTGTGGACTTCAACTCCTAGGATTCCCCAGCCAGCATGGAATTCCCCAGAAGTTACCATTAATTTGTTGACAGTTGACCAATGTCCTTTTGCTTTTATCTTTTTCTCTTTAAAATGTCTTAAAGAGAAGGCTTTAAAATAATCCTGTGTTTGCTTCCATTTTTCTTCTCTATGTTGACAATGGTCACCTAACCACCCAGTGCTGCATGGTTACTGAAGGGTTAGCTGATCATTGGAAAAATATGGAAGGGGAACATTTTATAGCTTAATAAATAACGAAATAAGCTTGCTACTGGCAAGGTAAGGTGACATTGGCATCTAAAATTCCAGGTGGATTTTGCTCGAGCGTTTTCAGTCTGCTGTGCTTCAACGTTTCCACAGCCTCTTTATGAGCAAAGAAGAATATGCATTTGGCTCAATATTAAGAATGACCAACTGTCCTAGAAAACACATGCATATCTTAAAAATGAACCATTTGAAGAATTTCCTTTGAGTTTACTGACTTTTCCATGTGAATCTGGAGCTTGTGACTTTGGCATATCTCTGATTCTTCTTGGTGACTAGAGGTGGAGATGACTGGTTGGTATAAGAAGGTGAAGTCCTGAAGTGAGAAGTTATAAAACGTTTTAGCATCTCTTGGAGGCATTTAGAGATGGAGTTCCATGTAAATCTGGTTTTCAAGCAGAGTGTTAGGATTCTCTTGTTATATACGGCTGCAATTCTCACTGTAGAATTTGGGAATCTAAAAATCCAAAGTTGTGTTCCTTGGATTTAGATGGTGTCACTATAGATCCCTCCCTTATTTTACAGTGAAATATTGTTCCACTTTTATTGCTCTTTTATCATTTATATTGCTCCATATTTTTAGAAACACCCCCCTCCTCCCATTAATTTTGGACTTATTTTTGTCCTGGTAGAAATATCCTTTGTTCTTCTGTGTTCTTAAGGACGTCATTCTGGAAAGTATCAGCTGGCACCTCCTTGACTGCCAAGCCGTATAAATCTACCTGAAAGTTTAACTCTTTACATTCAGTCTGTAACCTTCTCTTCCTCCTTTTTATGGCTAAGAAATATACTGCGTTGAATCTCACCTCTCTGCATTAGAACAGGGGTGTGTCTTTGAGAAGTTGATGAATGAGCATGTGCCTTCTCTGTCATCCTTGGGAAACAACAACCTATTGAATATGAAAGGGAATCCATGTTCGTTGCAGAGGCAGGAATATGGGGGTGGTTGCTCTGATTTCTTTTCTGCCAGCAAGCCTCTGCCCTTTGTTTTCATGCCATAATTTTCCTGATGGAAGAGAGAGTTTGGTTTCTGGAACACCCACTGCGTTACCCAAGAAGGTGACTTTCTCCCTTCCGCTTGACAATAATCAGGTGAGAAGATGACATAATGAAAATGATGTATTATATATTTATTTATTGCTCTATTTAGCAACTTTGACCTCTTTTTTTTGTTTTCCTAATGGGAGGTTTTGTACCATTGTAAAAAGGCATAAACTTTCCATGCTGTATCTGGAAAAAGATCTTACATGGTCTTTCTTGCTCAATTTTCCATCTTGCCTGCTTAATTATCAAAGTAGGAAAGGACATTTCTTACATGGGCCTGATCCTAATTGAGTTGTTCTATTATCTTAAAGTAGCATATATGTTCTGTTTTTACTAAATGTTTGGTCGCAGAATCAGCTTAGCAAATGACAACCAACCAATTCTTCACACCAACAAATGTGTTGGAATGAAAATTACTTTGGAGGTAGGGAAAATCCAGGAAATAAGAATTCTATTTGTTTCCCCCAAGGTGGCCTTTATTTTCCCCACAAATGTTTGAAATCAGAATTGTAGCTATTATATCTAGATAGTACTTTGCATTTAATTTCTAATATCTAGTTGATAGTAGTGCTAAGCAGTCTTCTAAACTTTTGAATATGCAAAGGTGCAAACAACTGTAAAATTATGGTTTAAAGGCAATGGGTGTCTGAGTGTCTGCTGAGCCCTGTTTCCATGTAATATGGCCAGCACAAGCCTCAACAGAGCCCACTCCCCATCTATAGGATGATGGCACTAGAGAATGAATGACATGCAGCGGATGTTATAGGCAATCAGGAAGCTCCAACATTAAGTAGGTGTACAGGTGAGTGTTGGACAGGCTGAGTAGAGTCCTAACATTCAGCTCTGCAAATTACAGAGGATAGAATTCAGGCAGGGAGGAAAACACTTGGTTTGCAAGGCTGTGCCTGATAGCTCTTAGCAGGCTGGAGCAAATCTCTGCTTCCTGTTTGTGAAAGTCTTTCGACTTGGACTTAGTGGGGTATCTGCAACTGAAGGGCCACAGTAATTCTCATACTACCCCTGAAAAATACAAGGCAAGGAAGGGTGCATATTCTAATCTTTGCACTGAATATGCCACACAACAAGCAAAGTAAGGAATGAACTGCAACACGGCTGAGAACAAAAACCTTTACTTAAGCTGAATTACATCTAGAAATAAATGCAAGGAGAAATATGCAATGGCAATTTAATAACTTGCTGCTGCCAGAAGGCACAGTGCAATGAAATTGAAGCACACTGGATTTTAGTGGAACAAAATAAAATGAAATGCTTGAGACTTACGTATACTTCTCTTTGGATCCAGCACTTTAGTTGCATTGTGCTAACATAACTACAAAAGTTAAAAACGAATTCATACTTTAAATGCTGCTGAGCCGCCACAGAGGCTTCCCAGTTACGTGTCATATGCCAGCTCCGGATGCCTTCAATCCCTGCCCGTCCACACCATCCCACAACCAGGTTTGCAATCAAGTGGCAGGAGGAGCTGCCTGCCACTTTCTTTGCCAGGATTGGCTCACGTGGATGTGGCCAAAAAGGAGAGCCTTGGGGAGACGGATTGGGCAGGTGAAACCATCAGGATGTGTCCTGCTCTATGTCTTCTTCGCTCCTTAGTCCAATGCGTGCTCAGCATCTTCACTTGCTTCTAA